GTCGACCTCTCGGGCGGCCTTGGGTCGATCCTTGTTGGCTCGGCGTCCTTAGCCAGCTTGTGAGCCCCCGAGGACGGCTTCTTCGTGTCTGGCTCATTGAAGTCCGTGGCCGAGACGGCTTGTGCGTTCTAATGCACAAGTCATCGTGGCACGACAACGTCGTAGTCGTCGCGTCTCTGCTTCTGGGTGTGGTTGCCGCTCTCGTTGAGGAGCAGGTGTGACCGGAAGTGGGTTCTAAGGGTGACATGGCTCGGTCCACCTGGCATGGCATGTCGTGCTCTCAGAGGGCCCGCTTCCTCAAATGCACGTGCTTCCATATAAAATCTAACAGTTCGCAGTGGCATGACGGACTGTTAGTCCATCACGAGGGATTTGACCCTGGTTCTGGTCTTGGCCTTGCAAGGTGCGGTGCCGGATAGCCACCTAATCACTAGTGACGCCGCCTCTTGGCGGCGGATGGCTCCATCGCTCGTGTGCGTCCTGATTAGCCACGTTCCACTGGAGACGGTGTTGCTCAGGACACGACTGTACCATAGGATCCAGGCTTGTCGCACGATGGTCCTGGATGAGGTAGAGGCCCTTCACGGGTGTTAGCCCATGAGTACGGACGATCTCATTGTTTCCCCAAAGGATGCGGCCGCCGAGGGCCATTCCATGGGTGAGCTCGCCATGAGCCATAGGCCTCTGGTTTCTCGTGTGGGAAACTTGGCCATGGCGAGTGATGGGAGAGGGTATTGTCCCCCCTATGTAGGTGAACTCCTGGATGCAGCCACTGAGGGCCGTTCTGAGAGTGTGTCCACCATGGGCCACGGGGTCTAGGTCTCCAGGGTGGAGGACTTCACAATGGCTAAAGACGGACGTGGGCGCTGGCACTTCGACGCCGATGAACTTGGGGTTCCCATGACAGATACGGCTAGTGTGGGCCGTTCCATGGGTGAGTCCATCAACGGTGCGAGGAGCCATCACTTCCTTCTCAACAACGAGAGTGCGCGACTATCCCCTACCTGGCATGCCAACTGTCGGTGTTTTGTAAATCGACTAGTGAATTTATACAAATGTCGTGCTGCTCTAGGAAGACGATGGTAGCATCCAAAACACACAAGGCATTATACTGGTTCAGGCCAGAGCCCTACGTCTAGTCTTAGAGGTGATTGAGTGCGTGTTCCTCGCTTGAATGCTCTTAAGTGCTTACAATGGAGGGGTGCAAGAATGGTGGAAGAGGTAGGAGAGCTAGAGCTAGAAGATGGACTACTCGAATGAAAGCCTCGAGAGTCCAAAGATGATTGGAAGGGTGCCCGGGCTGCCCTAATATAGAGTCCGGGGCCAGGTCACATACAAAGAAGGAGGTTCTCCGGACCGAGGTGTCATGAGCCTGAGGAAGGGAACCTAGCTAATTTGGCTTGCAAGTACCGCCGTCTTGTGGTGCATGTCTGGGCGTGGCTATCGCCATGGTCATGTGCCCACGTCGTAGCATGGTGTGGCATGGTGCTACAGTGTCGGTCGTGGTGGCACTGTGGGTACGGTGGTGTTTCGCCAGCCATCCTGCGCGACATGGTTTCATCGTGGCCTTCGTCATCGCCTCCTGATCTCCCAGAGGCGTCGTACAGGAGTTGGTGGCTGCCCACAGGCCGTTGATCGTCTTGCTGCTCGTTGTGCCAGCAGCCATGATCCCATGCTCTAGGGTCATGGCCCTCGTTGGCTTAGTTGGCCTCAAAAGTCAAGGCCGCCGTCGTGGCCCCCATCCCATAGTGGGTGGGGTCGTACATCTATCTTGTCAGACCATATTTGGACGGTGGGCCATAGTACTGGCCGTCACCGCTTGGCGGTGTTGTCTTGTCTGTGCTTCTGCCAGGCTAAGGGGACTGTTGTCCCGTCGGTCCTTGCGTGGTCAGTGCGGCGAGCGTGCTCTTGTCAGAGTAGGTACACTTGGCGGGGCTCGATCTCTCCCTGCCCCTCCTAGAGGTCGGGACAGGGGAGAGGTCATGAGGAATTGCGCGGCGTGCAGTGAAGGTTGATGGAAGAGGTCGTGGCCTACCCTTGCCCTTGTGTTTGGCCTCGATCGTTTGGGCTTATACTAGCTGGCGTACCGTGGGCCGCCTAAGCGGCTAACTAATCGGAGTCTTGAGATACACGGGGTATCATAGCCCCGATAGTTTGCATTCATGAGTTCATAGCGGTGAGTTTGCATGCGTTGTGAGTGTCTACATTGTACCGTGTAATCTCAAAATAAGCCATCATCTAACGGTGATGCATGCAACAAGCACATTTGTTCTAAGGGCAATATTGTATATCAACCATTGTCTCACTACGCCAAAATACACAATCACTGCCGGTTGTGCTTGAGCCAGCAGTGGTTACTTAACATTGGCGGGTCATAAGCCAAGGATCCAGAAACTTAGCATCACTGCTGGCTCAAACCAACACCCGACAGAGGCTTCTTGAAGTAAGTTGCCACCATCTTCTCCATGCTTATTCCAAACCATAGTTCCATGAACCCCTTAAGCAGTAGATGATAACAAATTGGCTCCATGTTTTGAAACTACTTCTGACTTTTGTAACCGACACATGTGCAGTATATGTATCCATCATTCCATACATTATTTGTGTTGCACGCCTTGGTGGCCTCCAAAAGACTCGGTGCCTTCTACGAATCAAGCAGACATGGGATCCAAACAGTACATCCATCCTTGATCCATATGTGAATAACAACATGAGTACAATGACCTAAAGATGGCAGATATGGCCTCTTTCACTCCCTTCTCTGTGATCCTCCTACAAGGCATGCAATCGAGGGACAAGAATGTTGAGCCGGTGAGCAGCCACGCACAAGGCATAATCGAGCCACCTCGTCCACTCCGTTGCCCTCCCGATCCAAATCTGCTATGGGTCCTGAAGAATATAGAGGTCTCCAGCAACACTCTAAATGAGATCTAAATTATGCATGAATATACCAATAGTAGTAATGCGAACTATAATGTATTGTTTAAAAAGTACGATGATATGGACGGATCACTGATGGAAGACGAATAATTGATTAGAACTGGACATCAAGTATCCGTCTCCTTGATTAGCCATTTGCAAGAACCAAGAAGCACGATGAATAAATGCAGAAAACATCGACCACCAAACTAGGCTACGTTGTTTGAGCCTTTTTTGCTACACAGATACTTAATTAACATAAAGCCTGCTACGTCATATATACTTAGGGTATTTATATTAGCATGTGGTTCGTGAATTTTGTTGGAGTACGTCGACTCCTACAAAATTCAGAAAATTTTAATTTTTAAATTACTATTTGATTCAAGGTTCAATGTACAATATAGTTTAGTTGACCGATATGATATTTAAGGCTGGCTTTGCCGTGTTATGGATTTTGCATGGAGGGTGGAGTGGTAGGAGAGTGTAGGCAGGTGAGCTATTGGAGATGGATGCAACAGGACAGGTGGCGGCCAGTCGCTGGGGAGGGAGGGCATATCGGAGTAGTGCGTAACGGTGGACAAGAGGAAGAAGCTAACTGTAGTGGAATATGTTGCATACTATTTCTATTCTAAAAGAAATCAATTTCTAGTATTGTTCTAAGTCAAACTATTTTGAAATTGGTAGTATGTATTAAAAAGAGCACTAATATTTATAACAGAAATTAGTATTATTACTATAAATACGTACCATGAAATATATTTTCATAATATCCTTGTTTGGTATCATAGAGATGATATTATTCTTTTTATATATAAAGTTAGTTAAACTTAAGATAGTTTTTTTCTCATTACGTAGTACAACTCAAAAACTCACAACGCACACACACTCACCCCTATGAACACACACATGCAAACCCTACGCTTATGAGCATCTTTGAATATTGGGCTGGCAAATTCTCGAGATTGACAAAGTCACCACATGCGCCATGCTGTCAACGGGAACGTCGCCTACCACTGAAAGCATAACGCCGCTAAATTTTAAAATATTCGCTACCACGGGGAGTGGAACCTAGGATCTAAGGAGCTACTGAGGCTTTAATTTTATAACCACTAGGCTACAACCCTTTCGCAAACTTAAGACAGTTTGATTAAGTACAGCTGTAGAAGTTTTGTTCCAGGATAGAGGATGAAATGTTGAAGCCCTATGCACAGGATCACTTTTTTTTTAAAAAAAGTTATCACTGACATAAATGGGCTTGTGGCAGCAGTTCTTGCTAATTATGTTCTAGGCTGGATTGACCCAGATGGAGTTATCGTCGTAAGTGATATAAACTACTCTAGCTAGTTCATCGGTATATACTATTTTGATAACCATGTGAACATGCACGGTGTAGGCGTCTCAACTTAATCACTCCAAAGAGAACGTAATATTTTTTTTAGATATAGTGGCCACATGCGATGGACAACTTATTTTTTCCTTTCACAAACAGACATGGTTACAACATCTTCATATAAGGACATTACAAGACTGCTACTGTTGCTAGAACAGTTGGACCCTTTATTAATTTAATAAAGTGTAACAAAGGGACAAAGAAAACAAATAACTCTCGACTTGAACAAGGAAGGACGACCATGGCTCCAACTTTAGATTGGCTTATATGGAATTTATGGGTAGGCATTGCCATATCCAGTTCCGCACCAGAACCACACCGCCGCCACCATTTTCACTATTTCTGTGCCACCACCAATGCCGTTAGCACTTGCACCGCATCACTTGAACCATCCCAATACCTATTAGCATAACTAGAGCCAGAACCGGTGCCGCCACGGATCCTTGAGCATTGGAATTCCAAGCACCTCCAGCTTGTCCTCCACCCCCACCACCACCCGGCACCACCAGCATTAGAAGATTCTCCTCCATAAGGACCAACTCCTTGACTATATGTACTAGATCCTGAACCTAACCCTGACCCTGAACCATATCCGGACCCAATTAGCTAGTTCCACCACCTGCACCACCCTCCAGCACTTGCATGGGCACCATAAGGACCACTATCACCCGATCCGGTGCTGGACCAGACCCTAATCCACCACCATTCGCAGATATCGCCGCCCGCCCCCTCCGGTGCCGGTCCCATCAGCACTAGAGTATCTAGCCACCCTTACAGCATTGGCTAATCCCAAGCTCATGAGGACAATGAGCCCTAGTGATATTAGCTTTGTGCCAGCCATTGTGAGCCACCACTATAGAGTGTTTGAGTTGAGATGAGTTCCCAGTGAATGCTGCATGGGTATTTATAGTGCTGGAGACCACGCAGTGGTTCTTTACTTTCATAGCTTGCACACGTTAATGGTAGTAGTGTTTCAATAGGAGACCAAATGGAAGCTTTTAAAATCCACTGGAATTAATGGAGCTCCTTTACTTGAACATTAAGTATATGCAAGTTGCAAAGTAGTACTTGTTACGCTCTCTTTAGATGACTAGGCAGACCAGCTACGTCTCATCTCCATCATCCATAGATTGTGGATGGCGCAAATTAAGTTTTAGCATTCATCATCGGTGTTTGGAAGGCCCATTGAAACTAAACTAGCTCTTTGCCGATTTTCGGACTTGCACTGGTACTAAACCCAGCTCTCAGCTATATATATACGAGACAAAACTGTCCAGGCACTAAAACCTTTCACACATTAGTACTTTTATTACTAATTATGTTTTATATAAGGTAGCGAGACGACAGTTAAAAAAGGGGCGGAGGGAGTACACTCCATTTGACCCTGCCTCAGAACAAAAGGAAGAGTGATTTTTTTTTTTACTTTCGCAAGGATTTATTTTACCTTTTCTTGGCTTTTGCTTGGGATGAATAGTTACGGTCCAAAAACTTGTAAAAAACATGCGTACTACAGTAAACTCAAATATGCATGATCCTCATGACTATGTATTTGACCATTCTCTCCAGCGCTGTGATGCATGCACAGCTGGTGACACGACAATCAAAAGATACCGAGATCACCCATAGTAATGTAACCCAGGGTTTACATATCTTTTGGGACTAACAGTACTTTGTACTTTGTACTTAAACTCTTAAAGAGTATCACATTATAGTATCTCATTAACAGTACTTTGTACTTAACTCTTAAAGAGTACGCTTGAAGATTCTAATTCGTTGGTAGAATGCAATATATGTGATACAAAATTGATACGAACCGGGCATCCGCCCCAACTTCCGTCCGGACGTGGCCCCGTGATCCCCACTCCTTATCCCATCGGCATCGTTATCCCATCCTGTGACCCACACTGCTCCCCCGTGCCCACTCGTTGCTTCTCCGGCATCCTGTGACACAGTCCGCTTCCCCCGTGCGCCACTCATTGCCGCTCCGCCGCACCGCTCTCCGGGCCAGCTTGCGCCCCAGGACGGACGCCGCGCCCCATAGCTCGCTGCCGTCCCTCCGCCTGCGCTCCCTCCCTCCCTCCCTCCCTCCCTCCCTCCCTACCCCACCGGAGACGAGGTGACAGCGGTGGCTCTGATGAGGTAGGTCAGTCCTTCTCTGGATCTGAGCCCCTCTCCTCCTCCTCCTCCTCCTCCTCCTCCTCCTCTAGATCTGAGCCCTCCACCTCCTCCTCTGGATCTGAGGGGCGCGGCGATAGCTAGGGTTCCGGCGAGCTCTGTTGCACTTGCCTTGTGTTTGCTGTTGCAACAAGTAATAGTTCTTTATTGCATTAGTCTTTTTTTTTTGTTTCGATGTTGCATCTCGCATAGCCTTCTTACGATGTTGCAACAAGTAATTTCATTTTGTTGCATTAGTCTCTTTTTCTCGATGTTGCTTCTCGCGATTGCGCTTTGTTCCGTTGTTGCATTAGCCTTTGTTACGATGTTGCAACAAGTAATACTTCTTTGTTGCATCCATTTTTTCTGATGTTGCTTCTCACATTGCGCTTTGTACTGTTGTTGCAGTAGTCTTGTTCTGATGTTGCAACAAGTAATATTTCTTTTGTTGCATTAGTCTCTTTTTTCTGATCTTGCATCTCGCATTGCAATAGCTTTGTTACGTTGTTGCAGTAACCTTGTTACGATGTTGCAAGAGACTTTTTCGACGTTGCAAACAAGTAATACTCTGATGTTGCATCTCACACATTTCGTGTTGCAACAGATCTTCCGATGGAAAATTTCTCATTGGACATCGGGTGATGAAGCACGGTGGGGATGGGGCGTGAGGGCAACAGGTGCAGGGATGGCGGCACGGGCGGGGATGGCGATCTGACGAGGCACGGTGGCCTTGATGGGGACACGGAAGCGCACGCAGAGGCGCACTCGTTCTATTGCATCGGATATGTCCACTTTATTTCCGTCATTGCTTTATTCGATGAGATTTGGACGACTCCTATTATCTCAATTGGATGGTCCTGAGGGCGTCTCGGACGTCGTAGCGCTTAGTTATGTCGTATGTGATATCGACTACTAGCAGCATGTATATAGATTTTCTTGTTTCCTCACTAGTCAACACAGGGATAAGGAAGGAGGCCAATAATGCTGAAGGTCGGGCTGAGATTTCCTGCCTTTTCTTTTTATTTTTTCTAAATATTTTAGTTAATTATTATTTATTTAAATGCTGTATGCATTTTCAAAATCAAGGGCTCAGATTCATTCAAGATCTTACCTCTTATAAGGTAATGGGTGTACCATAGCAAAGCTCTTTTCTCATATATATTTGGTTAATGTTGAGTATACGTGACTTCTCGGAAAACGACAATAACAGTTAAAATGGGACGGAGGGAGTACACTCCATTTGACCCTACCTGAGAACAAACAGTATTAGTAAACGACGACCTACATGCATGAAGTCTTAACGGACTGCATGCATGCATGTTTGAAGATCAACACAGTCATTCCCTGATCACCCAAACGATTCTGTTCTCGCAGTGTGTGGCTGACATCGCAGAGGTGACCTCGAGGATTTGGCAACGACTTTGACAAATTCAGGCATGGGCGCTTAAGAACTACTCCTATAATGTGTGCCTGGCAATCTCGATAAGAAAGACGACTCCCAAGGTTAATTAATTAGTACAATGTAAGCCGTATTAGTAGCAAAACAATCCTTGAAGGCTTGAACTAGGACACCCTCAATGGCAATTTGCAAACAGCTAGCTAGATGAGGCTTGAAAATAATAAAAAATGAACATTGTAGTGAGGGTTTTTAGAAGATCGTGCTATACTAGCTATTTGAGAGTCGCTAGCTATTTTGTCTCTCTCCTTGATAGCTAATAGAATTCTTCTTAGACTAGTTATCTGAGAACCATTGGGGATACCCTAAGCGTTGACTCACAGTAGTTGGATAGGTCAGGCCGAGATTGTCTCTGATAGCCGTCTGATAATATTGTGAAGAAAATGCTTGCACAGCCATACTAGCTAATGTAACAATACCAATGTAACGAAACATAAATTCCTTGTCAGTTGGTTAATTACATCGTGATGGCACCCATTGCTTAATTACATAGTGATGACACCCAGTGACTTGAGTGCATCAGTCTTATCTCGTTGCGAGATAAAATTAAGGAGAACTTAATAAACCTAAAACATTGTGCAGATCGATGGTCCTGGCTGTGATGCAAGTTGTGTGACGCGCCACAGGTTTCATGATCAATTAGGGCACTCACTACTACAGATTGATTTATCACTGTCGCCACTTTCACTGTCGTAGCGATAGAAGCGACGGTGTTATACTTCTGCCGCCGGTTGGACCGATAGCTAGGCCTCCTACGAAGGAAACCGGCAGTTCAAACTTCTACCACCGATGGGTTAATAATAGATGCGGCAATGGTATTGTCTCCGTTGCATGAAAAGCCGAGCCAATTGGGATAGGGTTATGGCCGCTGGCCCTACACGACCGTTTGGTGCACCGGCGGTAGTAAATTCAGCGTGTGTTATTTCTCCATTTCCCAACTACCCACAACATAGTTGCATCACCATTAATTGCTCCTCTCCACTTCCTTCTTCAAGGTTGGCCTATTTATAGCTGGGGCTGGATGCGCTTCTTGGCAATCCACATACTCCTTCCTCCTTAGATATAGATGGATACAGAAAAAGCTCTTGAGCCAATCATCTATATTTTCCTCATCGCCATGGCGCTCCTTCTCCAACTCTTCCGGTGGCAGCAGCTACATTGGGAGAAGGCCTTCAAGATTGGGTACTAATGGCATCTAGCATAGCGGGGGCTGCTCGATCTAGGTGCTAGTGGAAGTTTTGTAATTAAGGGGGTTCGCTTAGAGACCGGCGGTAAGGATCTTTGCAGCCTTCTCTCAACCCACCCATATATTATCTCTCTCACAAGTTTCTTCTTGCTCTCTCTCTCTCTCTCTCTCGATCATGAGAGGTGCAGATACTAGTGGAAGTTTCACCTCACCTTTTCTTTCACTTTCTTGAATAGCTCTGTGTTCCCATTTCCAAGCCTGTTGTTCAGTCTGAGGAATCGAAACGTGAGCACCACCATATCCTAATCTACAAAGAAGTTACTATACAAGAAAGGTGGACAAAAAATGGTTTCCTTCATTGAGATGCTGGTGGATGTTTTGTGAGGTGCTGCCTCATCCTTAGCTTGCACTGCCTGTCTCCAGACTCGACTATGGGATGTACCTGCACTTGACAGGACTTTGTTATTGTACACCCAGTAATCTTCGAGAGGTCTTTGTTATTGTACAACTATGGAATGTAACTGAAGTTATCAATGAAATTGCTGTGATGATTGTTACCGTGTCATTTATATATAGTTTTTGCCTTAAACCAATTAATAACCGAATGGTTGTGATGCTTGTTACTCCATTTTTTGAAGTGTCATAGTATTTGCCTTGGCTACACAGACGTGAGATAAAGCACCTCACTGAGATGGCGCTGGGGTGGAAGTATTTTCCTTGGTTTATTTGCAAATTAGTTTGCTATGTTTGCAAATTATGATTATTGAAACTCCCGTCGCTGTTTCATACGTTGATTCAGCGTTAGTGTTAGATCGCAAAGTGCAGGGAATCAAATGGTCCACGTCGTCTTCCCTGCTCCACCACCCGCGACTCACGTGGGTGGCTATGGATGTAACGGACCTTGACTGTTGCCTTCTCCGCTCGTGTTTATTAGTGGATATGACTTGAATAACTTGTATTAAGAAATTGGAAAAATGTGCAAGGGAATCTGAGCCACATCATATGAGAAGGTAATTGTAACTGAGTTTAGAAAGGAATCATACTT